AGCTACTCATTTGAAACTAAATACTGACGCGAATCACTAACTAGTCCCCGTAGAGTCACTACCAATGTTATTCAATGGAACATAACAGACGGCGCTACTAGTTACTAACTAGTTACTAACGCGTTATTGATAAGTTCCGAGTGATTCAACTGTCGAGTCACTTTTGAGTTTTCTCACTTTAATATTTTGGTGCTCAACGAAACTTATTTTGTTTTACCAATTGCAAAAATTTGTTATTTATGCAAAAAGGAACGAACAAAAAATTAATTTAAAGTTGGTGGAAGAAGTAGAAAAATATCCGGTTCTATATAACTTCACGCTCTCGGGATATTCCAGAAAGGATGAAACAGAAGAAGCTTGGAGTGAAGTAGGAAGACATTCACGCACTCTCTCATATTTTTATCTCGCTTGTTTGTGGCAGGGGAAATCAGGTTCACCGAATATAAGTAAATTTCTTTTGACATCCGATAAAAACATAAAAATTTAGTATCGGAAAGGTTCAATTCTCTTGTAGCAATGAATAATCGGTAATGAAAATTTTTTCAAAGTTTGGATGAACCCAACACCTTCTATTTTTTTGATTTCTTCTGTAATAGTAGTATGCTGTTATTACTTCTTCATCACTAGAATCACTGTCAACATCCATGGTGTAGCAAAGAGATGACGAAAAACGTCCTTCATCCATAGTCACTCAGAACAAACTACAGGTTTCGATCGTGAGTAGGTATGTTATGAGTAGCCTCGTGTATGAGTCTGAGTCACCAATGCGTTAGTAACCGATTAGTAATTTCAATCATAAAACAGTTTAGTTTTTTTTTTTTTTTTAATAGCTCCGTGTGTAGAAGGCCTAAGACTTCCGAAAAAATTTGGCTATCACGACTCGATAGCTTGGCTGGTATTTTCGCAACATTAAATGAAGTAAATTTATTAGTACAACTTGAAACGACCAAAGCTTTCATGGCAAACGACAAAACCAGGACTTTAAAAAAAAAAAAATGAAATTTTAAACCGTGCGTTTTTCTCGGTACGAAATATTAATAGTTGTTGCCGTCTTGAACATAAATTCCTGATTTTCGGGGCTCCGTAATTTTTTTTTTTTTTTTTCGAAAACAAGAGCTCCGCGGACAAAAAAGTTTGAGAACCACCGACACAAGACGTTAACAGTGTACGAACGACGTGCGAATGCGTACGAGCGTACCACAGCGTTTATACATTTAAACGGACGATACGCAGTTTGTTTCGTTCCCGTTTCGAATCCGATATTCTAATTTCCATCTCCCGCACGAGTGTGAGGCTCGCGCCGTCCGCCCAGGTGACACTGACCTCTTGAGCGCGCGCTCTCGCGCACAAAACGGTGCACGGAGTGCGCTCTTCTCGTGCTTACCTATGCTTTACGCGCACGAGTACGAACACGACGAGCGTTTCTTATACGCGCACGGCCCGTGTTCCACACGCTCCGTTGGTGGCCGATGCCGGCCACTTCTCCGGCCGCGCGGTAGGCATTGCACGGGAACTAGATTGCCGACCTGAGATATGTGCAACGGACCACTGCGGTGTACATTTTAACGTTTTAAATGTATTGCTTCAAATTCTTCACTCGATGACATTGTAGTAGTTTGTACTGTATAAATCATTTATACTAAATAATTAGTATAATTATTAAATAATATAATAGTATTACGGCTGTTTGTTTAAATGTAACCAACCGATCGTGTGATAAGGCAACTGTAGCGATGGTGTAACACTGATAATAATAGTGCAGATAAGAGGCGCTGTCTCTAGACGCTCGTCGATATAACAACGTGTTGCGGTAAAAGCGCTCGCGGGTTACGGCGTACGAAAATCCGACGGAGGTACCGCGGACGTGTAACAACACCGCGTCGAGCTAGGTAAACAAGTACGCGGCCACGTAAACGGGTGCTTTTCAGAACCTTTTTCGAAACGATTTGGAGGGCTCGAAAACGCTCGGTAAAACGGTGTGCACGCCGTGGTAAATCTCGACCCTTGGCAGCTACAACGTGGTCTTGGGGATGGGGGGGGGAGGGGGAAATAGTTCCTACCGCTACCCTTAAATTGCACGTGCCTGCCTTACGTGTAAGTGCGCGAGCATATGATCCCGAACAGCCGATCTGGATTTCAACGTGTTCGTGTACACAAATCGAATACTTTTATCAAAGACGATATCGTTTTAATTACCGCCTGCGTGCGCGGTCGTTTTAACAAAACTTGTGAAATAATGGGCGGAGTTGACGTCCGAAGGACGGTGAGGCGGAGTTGCCGGTGCGGTGAATATTATTGCGTTACATCATCTTGGGGAACACGTATTGTTAGCTACAAGTGGTATTACTCTACTACTGTCGATTCGCACGGGGAGAGACCATGTCGTTAGAAATATGCAAACGATGTTGGCAAAATCGTCCGTTGAAGACGTATACCGCATGACTATTTCCAATTGCTCAGAATGATAATGTAATTTTTAATTTGATTCGGGCTGGAACAGCTTCTCTCGACGTAGTGTCATTTATTCTCTTTTTTTTTTGAACTTTCGTATAAACTTTATCGAGTAAAGTATTAACCATGGTCGGAGACATTATCATACAACTGGTAAATTCAGCCACATTAGCAACTGCAAGTTCACTAAATAGTAAACCGTGCGTTCGCTGTTTTCAAGCCATTCTAGTTCCTCTTTTATTGAATCTTTCAGTTCTTCACTAATTATTGATATGCAGCATTTTTATATCAGTTTTACTGATTTTGCTCTATCCATTTATTTATAATAAAAAAAAATGATTTTTTTTTCCTTATATTACTATAAAAATACTATCTAATCATGGGTCGAAACAAAATAAATTAAAAAAAAATTTAAAACAAATACATTAAAAATTAAAGAATAATAATACGTTGACTGTGGTGATACATTCCTACAAAGCTAATCACTGGAATGAACAATAATGGATTTCACTGTATTACGTTTAGACACACACTGGACGCAATTTAGTAATTGATTTAGCAACCTGGTGACTCGACCGAGTACTGAACCCGTGTGAACGTGGCTTATATTATTAGAAATATTCAAATGATGTCCGTTTAATAACGATAATAATAATAATAATTACATTCGATTCTTGTGTGCCCGTCGCCGTCTTGATTTTTGTTTTCCGTACGCGTATAAAGTGATTACGCGTAACGTATTATTAATGTCTATACTTCGGGAAATTCATATAAGCTAACGCTGATCTGTTTACGGTTTCGAAAAAATATAGACACGAACCAACAAGGAGTTAGTTTATTTAAAAAGCACAAAAAAAATATGCACAGAATTTTTTAACTATTTGTCTCCGAATATCAAATACTTTCGATATTAAGCGCTTACGAAACAGTTGCATTATTTCTGAAACATAACTCGTGAATTATTCAGCGACTTTATTTTCGTCTTTTCTTCACAACTTCGAAGACTAACCTAAATAAACGTATGTGTCGATGATAACTGAGAAAACCAAAATTTTTTGCGTCTAAATTACGTTACAGTTACCGTACCAATACAAATCACCGCATATGTGCTCACTTCCGACAGAAATTCGCGACATATCCGCAAGTCTCCGCGTAATATATCATTTCACTCGACCGATTATCAACTGCTCTAGCCTCTTTACTGGTGGTCATGCAGCGTCTTCCGCGGCGATACCCGCCGGCCGTTCGATCGTGTTTTGATCGCTTATGGCCAATACTTCGATAGTATTTATTTATTCGACGAAAAAAATGCCCCGTTAATCAAAATGAATGTTAAAAATCACGTACGTCACACGCACCAGGCACATTTTTGAATTTCACAGCAATTTCTTTTCTTTTTAACTGACGATTGGAGGTGTTACGAATGTCGCGTATACACAACCGTATATTACAGTGATTGTCGTATAAGACATACTCGCATATCTCGTTCGCGAACGCAAAACTTTCATCAGGACCACGATCGACACACACGCACACATGCACCTGCGCTTGGAAAACAATCGGTTCATAACCTGAATAAGGTCTAGACCGTACTGTATAGAGCTGCACTGTATGCACGCGGGGCTTATATAAACATACCTCACATGTCGTCGTTCTGTTGAACCTGTGACCCTGAATTTGAAGCGCACATACCCACCGCCAGGATCTTTATCTTTTCTCCTCCACCTCTCTTCTATTTTTTTTTTCTCATCTGGTATTTTTCCATATACGACGACGGGTATTAATATTGACCCACGGTGTCTTTTACACACGGCATACCATGTCGTCGTCGTCGTCGTCGTATACCTTGTACGCGTATTTTTATTATATTATTTATGACGGTGCGCCTATAATAATAATAATAATAATAATAATAATAATAATAATAAATAAAAATATTATTATGCACGCGGCGAACGCGACTTGTACCACGCGAAATGTATAAATCGGTCTCGTTTGCATTATTTTCGTCGATGTGATTGTGGTTGTCGTCGGTCGAGTCGACGAGTGAAAACCGTCGTCAACAAAAGTACAATACACTTAAGTGCTGTGCAAAACGACGAATGTTATAATACCAAAATAAACGGTCGGGTAGGGTAATGGGTTCGTTAAAACCACCGCGATCTCTTGTGCTGGAATTGCGACAAAAATGGGAATAAAATAACGTAAACGAAACAAAGGGAAACGTTCACTTCATTGTTCTCGTATTCTTAACCCTGTAGAGATCTCGGTGTACAGATGACCTATTCCGTGTATTATGAGACCTCCGTGCCGGAGAATATAAGTTTTATCTAGTCTGTAGCAGCAGCAGCAACGGCAACACCAGCAACAGCGCTCAAAGTATTGGCTAATGCTCTTCTTCTTATGCAAGGATACATAAACGTTGACCCATAAATAACAGGCAGACCTCTATTGTCAACGCTACCGTTTTTCTAGAAGGAGTTTACGTGAAGGAGAGAGAGAGCGAGAGAGAAAGATAGATGAAATAAGGTCTTTCGTATACGCACGCACACGTTTATATATTATTTATTATATTATATAGCACCATCACAATAGAACGTTTGTGTGCTCAATATTCGTATGTGCGTATGTATGTGTAATATAAAAATATATTATATCAAATAGTATATAAAAAAAAAAAAAAAAAAAAAACAACAACAATAATAATAATACCGTGGACGTCTTTACTTTGGCGAAGTCAAGAAATCAATTTATTCGCACTTGATTTCAATTTTCACCATCTGCGGAGGTTGGTTTTCTACGGGATAGGTGGCCGTGGTGAGGTATCCCGTGTGACCACGAGGAGACGTGGACGGGACGCAAGCCACGAATTTCTTATCTTCTCGTTCTGGTTCGATCGCGTTCTGTAAAAATGAATAAATTATCGCCAAATGTATTATTATTAGCATATCCGCACGTTTTAAAATAACTGCCGTTCGATCACATGTGCATACACAGTAAGTATACCTGAGCTGAAACATTTATAGTACATATTTATTAATCATATAGGGCTGATCATTATCAACCCCATAACATGATTTGAAACGGTACAGAGAAATAATGATATCAACTACCCCTTTATGCCTAAATTTTCTCCTCATTCCTCCCTCCAATCATACTGCTCTTCGATTTACGTCTGTACGGTTTGTTGGATATAAATACTATACATATATAGTCGTTATTTCGCCGAACAATAACTGCATCTAATAATATGTAACATGTTCGAGTTATAAAAATAGAATATTATAAATAATGTTATATTATCCGCACTGTATAATATAATTCATTATTATGTACTACTGCTGCAGATTCTGTACCACTGTATGCGTTTACGTGTAAACAGCAAACGGCTCGTAAAAAGAACCACCTATGGTTTGCGTTTTAACGTGTATGCCAGTTTAAGATTTCTTTTAATCAGATATATAAATTTACTTGAAGAACATATAAATAAATAATACCAGTGCGTTACGGAAAACTCGATGTAAGCGAACGCGTTTTATATTATTGCATAATATACACATATAAATATTATTAAGTCGTACTTTTTTTTCGTTTCAAGTAAAACATTCGAAGCGCATAAATATACAAATAAATGTATTAATCTGACAGATGAAATAGAAATAAAATATAAAAAACCATCTGCACGCACGATTCGTCGTCGTCCGCGTGCGGCTATAGTCAACAAGTGGCGCGCATAACTTCTTGTAGTATTGTGTTTTGTATAAACATTAAGTTATTATATTTTTACTAGTGTTGGATTCTGATCCCGAGAACAATAGTTAACTGCAGAAATCAACTTAACTCCTGAATAAATGTACTATGTCTAGGGCGATTTTCGCGAAGATAATGGCGTTCTTATACACATAATACACGGGTGGAAATACGACTTCACTCATCTTCTAATTTTCTACGTTCAATATTATTTTAAACGCGAACCAATATCAATGAGATAACGATGATGAGAAAATGATTATGAAATTATCTTGCATAAATTATGTTTAAAAAGTTATGGATAATTTTCTAACAATTTTATCGCCAGACACACATACACACACACACTCATATAAATACATATAATATTTATGTGTGTGTGTGTGTGTGTGTGAATATTTAACAAACCATAAAATCAAACCAATATTTATACAAAATACTTTAAACTCAATCACATAAATTTTACTCGTAGATTAATTACATGATATTAACCACTAGAACACGAACGTGACTCATTAGTCATTATTACACAGTAAAATATTATTATAATGGAACAATATTTTTGTTACTTTCGTAATGCTCTAACATTAACCGCACTAACCATGAGTAATTTTTTATTGGTATGAGAAAATTCGGTAAATATATTTCAGCCATTATATATATAATTATTCGTCTAAAATTCAAAGTGGTATGACGTTTGGTTTTTAGCGATACTGGCTTTTCGTTTCAAGTATAAAATACAGCACTTTGAGGACGTACGTAATTGTAATTAATTTAAATTTATCAAGGACATTTAACACTATGTAGTGTCTATAGAAAATACACACTCGACTCCGTGTACAAAATTCAAGAGCGCGCTTTACAAACACGTATTATATCTGATAAAAATATATACGGTATACGCGTCCTTGAGATACGAAATAACGTGGAAAGTCAAAATAAGTAGCTAAAAAAGGTATGCGATTTTCAATAGAAATCGGATGTGAAAAACCTTGGAAAAATAAGTACATAATAATATACGTTTAATACGTGTGTTGTGAATAATCTAATCGCATCACGTTTGTGAATCACCATAACGTAATCATACTTGTTGCTATGCCGTTCGACGCGCTCGGTATTACCATGTCTTGAGTCGGTATTGAACATTCCGATTGAAATCGAATTGAAAAATAATATTAACTCTTGTCACAGCATACACGTGATTGGTAACACGTGTACGGTACTTGACGAATTGTGTAAAGATGATATCGATCGTACGTACACGGTTTGACGTTGTATTCGACATGTACGTCATGACTCGCGAGTCATCATGACCAGTGGAGACTGATATTTCGTATACGCTCGACGTCATAAAAGTTCCAACACAGTAATTATCCGCATCTTAAACACGGCAGAATTTTTATAGATCATTTCGGAACTTGGTTCCCGTACCGTCTCGGATTCGAATACCGCGATTTGATTTCAAAACCTATTAACTTCAATGCAATTTTAATGCGTGTCACCGCACATCGAACCAACGAAACGAGAAACAAAAACCGTCATCGTTGGGATCCGGAATCGTAGAAATAATATTTTTCCCTCGTTATGTTTTAAGTGTAGATGTGTTAAACGAGGACTAACTCGCACAACGAACGCAATGCGCACGTAATACAAATGGTTCATTGCCATTTTATTATAACTATAGAAATCTGTCGAAATAGTTTAATAGATTTCATTTCGTTTTAAGACTATAAATTACAACGCTGAAACAAGGATAGTATACTGAACTGTAACGATCAATACGTATATATATATATATATATATATGTAGGTACTCTCTTAGTACAGTTATTTCGGAACTATACGAAATAAACGTCATACATGTACCGATTATTATTTCTTTTGTTTTCATGATTTAATCGTTAATTTAGAGGGTTTTCGTTCAAAACACACACGTTCACACTTTACCAGAAAACAATGTAAACATGTTATAAAAAAATAACTGTACAAGAACACTTAAATAATATATGTTAGGTAGGTAATTATAAAGTGTTCAACAGTAATACCGTTCACAGAAACATTGATTTTATAATGTCATCCGATTGAGCCGAACATTAATGGCGATTTTTAATGTATAATAACGGTACATTTTAGACTCATCACTAACTCTCAATGCCTATAATGTATTATATTGTTATCGCACAAATACTTTATATTATTGTATTAAGTGGTACCTGTAGCAGGTTCGATTATTACTCGACTGGATTTCGAACATATATTTTATCCACCGATGTTTATATACATAAAGGTACATGAACGGTTTATTTCTTCGATGATGACCTAGTGTTTTTTTTTTTTTTTTTAAATACATACGTTTACGGGTATATATTAACATTACGTTACGATCATGTATTTGTAGGTACTTATTTAAACGTCGTGTAATGCCGAATAAACTTTTTTAAGAAAAATAACAAAAAATAATCAAATACAACATTATTTCAAATTTGAATAACAAAATAAACAAGAAGTCACGCACGGCGACAGAAGTCTATACCTACTCAGTATGCTAACAGTATGCAAATAATCATTTACTATTTAGTAAATGTTACATATACGCTGTAGCGTATAAATATATAGTAAATATATTTACACGGCTGTACAATATTTAAATACATAATTACAGAGAGGGACGTAAGCCCTAATGTTACGTTATTATTACCATTGTACGTGCGTATGGATTCGACGAGCACGATACTGCGTGTAGCACATAGTGATGGGAAAAATCCGGATTTTTGAAGTTTGAAATCCGAAATCTGGATTTTACTGTAAACCCGGATTTCGGATTCGAAAACATTGAATCAGTATTCTTTCGAGAATTATTTATGGTAAACGAAAAAATGATTAAACGTTTTCAAATTGAAATGATATTTTGACCTAACCTAATCAAAAATCTCATGCACAATTGTTCGTGTGATATTAATCATATAAGTCGGATATCATAAAATACATATTAGTTCTGATTAGTTGTGTGTCCAAAAATAATGGTACGTAAGACTTGAAGCGTTTGCCAAAGCGTTTGTCTTGTCGGTGCATGGAAATGACGACAAAGAAGTGGTGTGCAACGAAAGCCGTACGATTGGAACACGAAAACTATCGATGACAAACCCGAACGCCGAACGGTTTCATTACCGTCACCAGTAGCGCACGACATCGGATAACGGAAAAAAAGCGCTGCGCGCGACGCGACGCGAAGATAGTGCGCCGAGAGTGACTTGAACGCGCGGCGTGTTGTTGGTGCGCGCGGACGAGCGGTCGCGGCAACGGACGGACTCTCGGTCGCGCGCGCGCGCTGTTTCCTACGCGCCCCCGCGTCGTCTCCGCGCGGCCACGAACGGCCGTTCCGAAAGAACAATTAGCCGTCGCGTACGCATTATGCGCGCGCCCGTACGACGGCCGTTCCGTACGCACAGGAATCTCAACGATTCCCCGTACGGGCTCGGAGAGAATATGAAAAAAAAAAAAAAAAAAAAAAAAAAAAAGTATAAGGTGGTCCCGATAAAAATTATAACGTTTGACGTGGACCAGTTCGGCTTTGCGCGCGCGCGCGTGCGTTTGTCGAAAACAAATTACCAGCGCGACCGGTCCGCAGCAACGCGTAATGCATGCGCGTACAGGCGGTCGTATCGCGCAGGTACCGGTTTCGTTTCTGTTAGCGTACGCGCGCGTACGCCCTCGCACCGCGAGCGCATGCGCACCACGCGGTAAGTTACCGTCCCGTGGTTCACTCGTTTCGCCGTCTCCCCGAACGCTCTGTATCATCCGCACTGCTACGTTTCCCGTGCGCGGCGTACGACGCGCTATCGTACACGGGCACGTGAACGTGCTAGTGGCGCCGTGCACGGAATCGTCGTACCTGCGGCCCCGTAGCGACGGGCGGCGGTCGGCTGGCCGAGGCGAACGTGGTCACCGTCCTGTTCAGCACTTGATACTCTTTTTCCAGGCATTCGACGGTCTTCAGGTGAACGAAACCGTGGTCCTGCAGCGCCTGGCACGTGCGAATCACTTGTTCTATGCACGGCGAAAACGTACAAATCCTTCCGCCTCCTGTACACACACACGGGCAACATTAGTAAAAAGCATCGGCGAATCCGTGGCACGCGAAAAATTTAAATATTTATCGAAGTGCATTTAGTTTCCAACGAATCGCTTTCATTGGCTGTTTCGTCGATTTGCCTGTAACTCGTTCACGCGCGGTCACTCATTCCGAAAATTAATTTTATCAAACATTTTTATACACATACACATAACATTTTTTATAATTTAATCTAAGGAAAATACGAGCAATCGCATCAGCACCAACGTTACGTTTTCCGAGACCTGTATCGTTATTATTATATTCAAGCGAAATTCCTGTGAGCTACCAACAACAATTCTTCGATTTCTCGGAAGCCTCTATGATTCTATCGTATTATTTAAATTTAATGAGAATACCTATTCTTTTTCTGCAACGACCGCAGACGATCAACCCGGTCGTTATTTTCTATGGTTTTTACCGACGGAGTTAATATATTTCAAATACAATCAATACTTTTACGAAGGTTTCGCATAATTATCTAGCACGTGCGCGTATATAGTAAATGTTTGCTAATGACAAACAAGTGACAGTTCTTAAAGCACGTATTTTAAATTGGATATTCTGAACGGGAAACCGCGGTATAGATTTAGTTTTAATAACGCAGTAATATGCATAATTAGCAAACGCGTGATGGTAAACCAATTATAACGCCATATCGACGTTGTACAGTACACGTATCGTTTTTATCGTATTTACGTTATTCGAGTACGTTTCATACAAACGACGGTCTGTCAGTACATCAGTATAATGTAACGTTACTTTTTAATATAAATGTTTTGAACGAGTAAACGTATATAATATACGATATAAACGTATACTGATTTATATTTTATTGAAAATCGAACAAATCTTGTTTGTATATTTATAGATAATGCATCACGATTGTAATAATAACCGTTTAACAAGAAGTAACGACGACAATAACAGTAAATATTATAATGTGTACGGTCAAACGTGGTGTTTGACATTGTACAATCATACATGTATATATTTAGACGGCCGGAGGCGAGGCGTGCGTACATATATATAACATAGATCGACGATACCTGCGCTCGTTGTTGGTCGCGCGAGAAGGAAACGGTGGAAAAGATGCGCGTGAGAAATACGGTTGTCTGAAAAAAGTATTTCAGACGAATAATAAGTACAGCGTAATGGAATAACGCGTACACTGCATATTGAACATGTATATGTATATGATGTTGCGAGAAGATTTTGATTACTGCGCGAGGCACGACCAGTATAGGTATACGTAACGCAACGTTTGAATCATTTGAAACCAGAAAACGTGCAATGCCCATCATGATCGAGCGATTTAAAAACGGAGATCCTCGAGAAAAATTTATATTTTATTATTATTATTTTTATTTTAGGGCACCGTCGGCAAATATGGAATTGCAAAATCGAAAATTACACTTGGCGCACGCATTCGCTCGGTTGTACATACACATAAAATGTGAACGACGGTATTGTGTACACGAGTGAATATCGTACTACGTATATACGGGATATAGTTTATACTATACACTCTCCAAAGTCGAGAGCTCGAACACAAGTGGAAAAAAAAAAACTAGAAAGCTTATGTATAATAAACAGTAGTCGCGTATAAATACAATACATAATAAACAGTATATAAGGATTGCGAATTGTGGGAGGATGGGTTTTTTTTTTTTATACATGAAATGGAAATGGAAATGGATTGCACCACCCCGTCAGTGAAAGTCATGATTTACGGAAATCTATTCGCGGTTGTTGCGATCAAGAAAGCGCACATTAAATCACCGCGGACGTAATATTATTCCATGTTCACTGCGTATACCTGTCTCCGGGAACGGTACGGGAAACGAACGCATAACTGACGATTCCGAATTAAAAAAATAATATTCAGATACGGCGAACGGCATGAAATATATAATATATGTCGTCCGCAACTCGTATTGCGGAATCGAAATCGTTATGAAAACACCCAGTGATTCGTGTTCCACGATCATTCGCAATCTTATGCGATTTTCCCCCCGCAAACCAAAAATATGTTGCTCAACATTTCAATAGAAAACTAATGATCTTTATTGTAAAAAGATTTTATTTTATTTGAAAAATTCACGTGTAAATACACATTCAAATACGTTTTGTATACATTTAATTGAGATTTAATTTTGAACAATCGAATGGAACGTTAACACCTCGCCCCAATGTGTAGTACGAGCTTTATCGTTTGATCTGAATACTAAATTTCTCGTACACCTACTACGGATCTCAATAACTATAATTATTATAGGTGTTACGAGAAGTTCTGTACTATTAATTGAAAATCGAAAATGAATAGCGTTAATAACGTTATCGTTCACTTCGCATGCACGCGATGATAAATAAATACGTTTGACCACGCTAGTATATACGTTATGGTATTATTTTTTACATTTCATTACTTACAATATTGGAAGAATTTGAAACTCGTTTTTGTTCCAACTTTTATACGTGCACGCGGTATGTTGTAATAACATGGGTACCTTGGACACTGTATAAATCGCGTATTCCAGTAAATCCTGTTTACGCGTTTAACGTGATATCTCTTTTATTTTCCATACAATGCGCGTAATAGTGTACATTTAATCCCGAGCAATGCATATGTATATATATATATATATATATACTTACATACAGCGCACATAGATGCACGCGAAATCATAAATTCTCATCGTGTTTTAATTTGTGGAAGATTGTTGACCGTGTATTTCGCACGAACGGATTTATTGCAACGAAAAAATATGCATAAACACCACGTATATCACAGTATAACAAATACATATTTTTCTCGCCTTTCCATCGATCATCAAAACAGAAGCCAAACACAACGTATTTCGTTGTACAAAACTAATACGGTGCGTATACCTACATTACTATAGTATAAGTTGACAGTAACAATAAAAAACGTGTACCGATGGAACTCAATTGATTAATTATAGGAGACGAATCCGGCACGGATCTGGCCATTTCGGTAAGACTGGGTCAACAGTTCAAACCTCGAGATAAATCTTTTCTAGCGGTGTATTTATACAATACAGATTATCAATGAGAGCAAAACGTCGATGGCTTTTCTCACGCATCCTCGAAATATGTTTATAGTTGCATAAATATAATTCGAAAAGCGTTTTATTATGATTGCATAAACATATCTTTACAAAATTACTTATCCTAAACGTGTACGGAATAACAATTTCGTACTTTAACAATGTATATAGATGGAATAATAAATAATTCAACAAAGTACATCTATCATATTAACAGACATCTTATAGGCGGTAGTAACACTTTTGCGCCTTAGTGATCTAAAACAAAACAGGTTACCAGCTTCCCCGTGTTCTGCCATCTTCTTCTTGAGTCCATCTTCCAAGAGCGGAAGTCTGGTGACCCATCAGTTAACGTTGGCAACAATCTCTTTCCAAAACTCACGGTTTTCTGCCGATCGTATGGCCTCTACCAGGGGATAGCTAGTGATGGTTTTGATCTGGTCTATCCAACGCATTGGTGTTCTTCCACGGCTTCTTTTCCTTTCTGTTTTTTCTTCGATCATCAGTTTCTCCAGGCTCGATCCATACCTTCTTATGATGTGGCCAAAGAACCTTAGGATCCTCTGCTTACACACAAATTACAGTCTTGTTTCCACATTTAGCATGGCCAGAATTAAGAAGTTGGTCCTCCTTTCCAGCCAAGAAAGGAAATTTGTCACAGAATACGCCTACCCTAAAATGTGTTATCGAACGCCGGTCGCTCTTCGTCTCCGAGGTGGTATGATTTACACACCGGCGGAGTACGATTGCAAGCGTTTAACCTTTTTGGGTATACGATTGCGCGTGGAGACGGAATAACAATAAACATGGCTTTGGTCCTTCGAAAGCGTACGTAATTGTCAAATGTATATTACAAATATTATAAATGTACTATGATTATTATTTTTAATGTAATGCATTTCTAATAGTTTATTTACTGTAATTTAATTATGATAACTATTCGAATTGAATATCATGTGAATTTTTAACTATACATTTTTAAAAGAACTTGACGAAAAGTGACGAATTTCATTTATACGTGAAACATGTGATTTACTTACGCAGCGAAGTTGTAGGTTCACATAAAAAACATAATCGCATCCGCAACAGTATCAAGGTTTGTACAAAAACTACATTAGGTTTTGACTATAATTCCCTTTGGAGCGAAGCCCCTATCTCTACAAAAAATGTCACGTGATGGCACTCAAGTTTGCGAATTAAGCCAGAAAGCATAGCGAGAGAAGTCCTAACATTTTAAGTTTCGTTTTCCAAAAAAAAAAAAAAAAAAAATCAAAAAAACAATCGATAAATATATTACTACTTTGTGTGACAGCAAAGGATTTAGTTAAAAAATGAAAGCTGAAGGAGTCGATAAGTCACCATAAAACTATATGATCTAAATTATAACCAATTACTGTGATACGAAGTAGATAGTTGTTTGGTATAGGCAATAATCGTCACAATCCGTGTTCGTTTCGTCTACGTTTGCTAAGGATTATAGGAACGTTATGGCTAACGTTATAGGAACTGAACATGTATAAATACAAACCGATGTACATCAGTTCTCAAAGTGTGCAGGTACACAATTTCAAAAAGGACTGTTCGCTGTGTACGACGCTAAAATTTTCTATGCTAGCAATTGGAACTTCGAAGAACTTTTTAGTGTACTTACTACACGCAGCACTAAGAAAGGATAACAGTTGTGTTAAGTGGTCGGTGTAGAAAAATGATATTGCGCAACTCGTTCTTGCAGCCATTTCACCGCAACAATGGATAATTGAATTACGTGATAATATTCCAAATACGAAACGAATACCTAACAGTTGGTGTTTATTGTTCGTGCGTAACATTTATTATAATAATATTGTTCCCGGAGGAAAAAGTCACGGGGTAGTGTTTCCTAACTTCACCCCGATATTTCC